ACAAATACAAGCATTTAAAATAACCAACAGACACACAGTCGAGAGGGGAAGGGAACCCATCAACCCCAGGCCGAGGTGCACCCACAATCACTCGCGCGGCTGCATTCTGGACGAGCTGAAGTCTCCGAATGCTCTTCAAGGGCTGCCCCATGTAGAGCGCATTGCAGTAGTAAAAAATGTAACAACAATGGGTAAGACAGAAACCAATAATAAAGAACATACTAATAAAGACGATGCTAAAGAAGATACATCTAGTGAGGAAATTCTCTAAGTGCAAAATTTCACAAAGATTCATGTATTCACCATGCAGTCTGAAACGCAGAACAAAAATCTGATAGAAGTTTCTACATCTGGTAACCACATCAGCAGCTAATTTATCTACCAAGGGACTGGAAAATTGACTGCTGGAGAAACTAGCTAATAAATGTCATCTGCTTCTGACTAAACTAGGAGGAGTTACTATAGGGTGTTCAGGTGACTAGTCTCTTCCTACTTCATTTAAAATGCCTTTCAGATTGATTTGCAGTCTATTTAAGTATCAAGACACTATAAACATGGTTATGTCCATAGTGTTGAGAGTTTAGAGCTTACAAACAGAGATCATCACCTTGCTCGTTTTAGCTAATACCTAAATGCAGAGAATTAGCAACCCATTAAGCCTAGCTTACTAATTTGACCTTCCTCCTGGCTCGTTTTTCACTTTGTTCATATCAAAAATATTCCTTTCCTCTCTTCAGAACCAGAAAAGGAAATAAATACCGTATTTTTTGGAGTATAAGATGCACCAAGATTTTGAAGAGGCAATATTTTTTTTAAAGTAGGTAGGTAGATAGAGGGATAGAGAGGGAGAAATACAGTAGGTAGGTAGGGAGAGAGATAGTAGTTAGTTAGTTAGTTAGTTAGTTAGATAGAGAGAGAAATAGAGAAATATAGTAGGTAGGGAGGGGGAGAGAGAGAGAAATACAGTAGATAGTTAGGGAGGTAAGTAGGTAGGATAGAGAAAGAGAAAGAGAGACATACACACACACAGAGAGAAGTACAGTAGATAGGTAGGTAGAGGGATAGAGAGAGAGAAATAGAGAGGGAGAGAAATACAGTAGATAGGGAGAGAGAGGGAGTGGGTAGGTAGGTTGGTAGGTAGAGGAATAGAGAGAGAGAACTAGAGAGAGGGGGAGAAATACAGTAGATAGGTAGGGAGAGAGAGAGAGAGAAAGAGAGAGAAAGAGAGAGAATACAGTAGATAGGTAGGGAGAGAGAGAGTAGGTAGGTACGTAGGTAGATAGGGGGGAGAGAGAGAAATACAGTAGATAGGTAGGGAGAGAGAGTGTGTAGATAGGTTGGTAGGTAGAGGGATAGAGAGAGAGAAATAGAGAGGGAGAGAAATGCAGTAGATAGGGAGAGAGTGAGTGAGTAGTAGATTGGTAGGTTGAGGAATAGAGAGAGAGAAATAGAGAGGGGGGAGAAATACAGTAGATAGGGAGGGAGGGAGAGAGTAGGTAGGTTGGTAGGTAGAGAGATAGAGACAGAGAGAAAGAGAGAGAGAGAAATACAGTAGATAGGTAGGGAGAGAGAGAGAGTAGGTAGGTACGTAGGTAGATAGAGGGGGGATACAGTAGATAGGTAGGTAGGTAGGTAGGTAGAGAATAGGTAGGTAGGTAGAGGGATAGAGAGAGAGAAAGAGAAATACAGTAGGTAGGTAGAGAGAGAGAGGGTAGGAAAGTAGGTAGGTAGATGTTTCCAGGTGTATTTATCTATGTGCTGGAGAAGGAAATCGCTGACAATCTGCAGCACCTAAAACTGTTTCTGCTGGCACAGCACTATTGATCAATCTAATTCTCATCAATCAGTTAAAGAACTTTCCAAAAGGAAAAAATAGTTTTTGCATTCTGCAAACCTTCCAAAAACGGCCTGTTTTTCACAAAAACGGGCCCATATTTTTTTTTTTAAAAAAAGGCATGAATAGCCTGGGGATGGGTGGGGGGAGCAAAAACCCAACCCTTTTTTCACAAAAACGGGCCAGTTTTTGTCAAAAAACTTGCATGCATAGACTTATGGAAGCTTATAGAGTGCTGCTGGGGGCTGGGGTGTGGGCAAAAACAGCCCATTTGTTGCTCATTTCTGCCCTCTCCAGCACTCAGGAGCTCTCTGAAAGCCTCCATAAGGGTATCCAAGGGCGGGGCTTCAGGAGGCAAAAAACTGCTGTATTCGATGTATAAAACGCACCCAGATTTTCAGCCTCTTTTTTGAGGAAAAAAGGTGTGTCTTATACTCCAAAAAATATGGTAGCTAGTGTTTTTCTTCTCCCAAGCTCAGTGTAGTTCTGTGCATAGATTTGTCAATATCTGTCTCTTGTTGCATCAATATCTTCAGTTTTGAGAGGAAACTGTGCAAAAGGACGATTGCATCAAACATCTCAAAATTTATAATAGTGTTGAACATCTGTTGCCTTGACTTCTAACCTGATATACCAACAATTTTGGTATATCAGAACTGAATATTTCAGTTCATTTTTCTACTCATTTTTTTCTTTTTCTTTTCCCCTAATTACTTGCATTGAGATTATTCCTTATACAATTTAGTTGTTTGTATTTGTTGTCATGGATTGCACCAGCGAGGCTAAAACCAGTTTTGTTGTATTTATTTTGTACCATGACAATAAAGTCTAAATTATACTATTAATAATGACACATGTGTCTATGCTGGGTTACAAACCTGGAACAAAGGGTGAGCCAAGTTTCCAGATCTTGTTGCTAATTTTGGAACCAGTTTTTGTGCTTCAAAATGACATTTCCTTGACCACAGATATTATAATTCTACTGTATCAGGAAACAGGAAAGCATCAAATTGATTTGGATGATATGACTCCTAGGTAGTATAATCAACCGGGGTCCATATACCTTCCTCCTTGACTTGGACTGTATTTTCCTTTGTGTCTAAACTTGTGGTTGTACAGTTTGAGTAAAAGATCAGCTAATGTAATAGATAAAACAGTCACTAGTTTGTATGTCTTGCCATTGTTTACTCTTTGGATTATGGAACTTCAGCAGACAGAATCCCAAGGAAGGACTCCTGTGAAGCACTAAGGTCACACGACTTTGCCTGATTTACTTATTACAATTATGAGTATCACCGTCTAAATATTATCCATTCTGATGGGATTAGAGTAAGCCAGTTTTCCATGAGATGAGCATGAAATTCAGAAGTTCTCAACCAATTGCAGGGAAAAAAAATTAAGTACTTACTTGAAGCAGTTGTCGCAATAAATATTTCCTGTGGTCTCCTTGATTGTGCGTTCAGAAACAAAAGCTGGATATTCAGTGTCACAAGGCTCTAGAGTTTGCTTCAATCGCTGAGCTAAAGAAAATAAGAGAGACTGAAGGGTTTTGATAATGACTTCATTTACAGTTCTTCGATGCGAGATGCTGTATCAATGTTTTGGACTTTGTGAAATCATTACAGTGCTCCTGCCACCCTGTGATTTATGCTGGTAATGCATAAGATTTATTTTATAATTAAAGGAGACATTTATAAGAAGATACAATGTACTAAAGGATATTGACTTTACTCAAACGATAGTTTGGCTATAAGAAAGACATGGGATACTGATTCAGTGGTAACTGCATACATGAGTAAATTTAACATTTGTGAACATATCAGTAACAATATAGATGTACTTAGTGGAATGGAAGGGTATTTCATAGTCATTCCCACCCGTACTTCTTAAAAAAACACAGTTAGCCATGGGAAATTATGGCAGTTCTCAGTTTGGTAAAATTCATGCACCTGACAAGAGTGGTATTAATACCTTACTTTGTACTTGCCATACAACTTTATAGTTTACTCAATGCTGTTTTGAAAAGCCAAACTTATTTAATTGCTTAACCTTACCCCTCTCTATATTAAACCTGTTTGGAGAAGCTTTAAATCTATTATTTTTAATATTATTCTCATCATATTGCCGGGTCTGCAGTTTTGCATTTTGCTCACCACTTTCTCTGGTTATTTTAATATTATTAGTTTAAATGTGTATGGTTTTGATATCCAGTTACCTATAATACACTGTTATTATCATTATTTTGGTGTACATTACAAGGCCACAGAGTATGCAAATGTACATTCCATCTGTTGCCACGTCCCTTAGCTTGTTAGCTATTATTTAAAATATTGATCACCAATTATGACAATTCTGTCAGAGGAGACACATGAAAATCAATGGTACATGTTGGTGCCAACCAGTTTAACATTTACTAACTGCAGTGGGTCTATATTAAATATGACTTAAATTTGGATTCAGTCCAAATTTCTTTCAGTTGAAGTCAAGGTGAAAAATTAAAAGAAAATCCCACATCCTGAAGTTTTATTTTAGGTTTTCTTTAAAACCAACTTACATCCATGCCTGCAAATTGTGTCTATTTGTACAGTGATAAGGAGTACCTGATGCCATAGAATTATTGAACTTAACATCTGGGATTCCTATGATCAGCAGGGTTAAAAGATGCCATATATTCTTTATTGGATTTTTCAAAGTAAAAATAGGATGCATATAACTGAACATTTTATTTCCCTTTTGCAAGATATAGTCAGGAACCACCATCCTCCACCAACCCAGTCAAAAAAGAAAAAGGAAAAGAAAAGATGCAAGGCGTATTATCTGTTGATTTCATAAATCTCATTACGATGGGCTAAAACATTTTGCTCTCTAGTTTTTTGGATCTGTGCTGGTAATAATCTCTCTTATGACTGCCAGCTCATGCCATCGACTATAAACATCAGCTGCATTAAAATGATGCCTTTCCTGTGATCAGGATGAGAGGGTACTTTGCAGCTTCCTAGCAATTAACAAAAGGGAGCAGGTGACGTGTATAATTATATGCTCAGCTTCCAGGGTAAAGTAAATTCTAAAGGGCAGTGTCTACGGAGGTAATGGCAAACCTGTGACCTTAAAGAAAGAAGGATGCAAGTTAATTATATAGCCACAACACATATTTATTTCTAATTCTTCCAAAACAAAGAGTTGAGAATAGGAAACCATTTTATTGGACAGTGTGAGAGTATAATTTGCAATAGTCAAATAAAAATGCTATTTTCTTGGAAAGATCCCAGAAGTAGTTGGCCATTGCCTGCTTCCTGAAGGGGGAGGGGGAATGAGGGAGAGAGAGAGAGAGAGGGAGAAAGAGAGGGAGGGGAAGGATGAGAGAGAGGGGGGGGGGGGGGGGGGGAGGGGGGGGGGGGGGGAAGGAGTTTGATCCAAAGTTATCCAGGTGGCATTGTACCTAGTGCGGAACTAGAACTCATAGTTTCTCAGTTTCTAGTCTGGTACCTTAATCACTACACCAAATTGGCATCCCATATATGTTTATACTGCAAATGATTTAAATCTCAGGCACTAGGAGAGCAAAATTTAAGCTGGGCATGAGGAATGTTTCCTTTCCTTCTTCCTTAATGCTGGTAAATCATGCAAAAATATTATAGTGATTACATAGGATTTTTAAAAAAAATATTTATTTAATTCCTATAACTGTCAAGAGGCTCTGGGAAATGTGCCGGATGATACAGTGTGCCTTGCACTGCTTTGAGGTAGCTGTTTGACAAGCCACCAAGATGATTTCTTTTTCAGTACAGTGTGCCATAAAAAATTACTCTATCCAAAAGCCATATTAGCCATTTACTTATGAATGTCACCAATTGCATACTTTAAATTCCACCAGAAACATACACCACAAAAAGCAATGGATGTACTTAATTTGCTTCTTGTATTGGACAATACTTTGGCCACCTAATGAGAAGGAAGGACTGACTGGAGAAGAGCCCAATGCTGGGAACGATTGAGGGTAAAAGAAGCAAGGGACGACAGGTAATGAAGTGGCTGGATGGAGTCACTGAAGCAGTCGGCGTGAGCTTAAATAGACTCCAGAGGATGATAGAGGACAGCAAGGCCTGGAAGAATGTTGTCCATGGGGTCACAGTAATTCGGACATGACTTTGCAACTAGTAACAACAATTTGACAAGCCCACCACTAGGGAATAGGAATTCATTTTTTCTCTTTCACAACTTCTGCCCAGATTATGTATTTCTTGGGTGCATAGGACTTACACAGGATCTGCAAAACTATGGGTGGAAATACAGACCTTTACACTGGAACTGATTCTTGCAAAACTACTATTATGACTGTCTCTCCCATGCTTTTCCGGCAATGTCATCTCTAAGAAACTTTAATTGGTTTACTGCAATCCCAGTGTTTGAAAAAAAAAATAAACACAATGCAGTAATTATTACTATGGTAGTGTTAGAAAAGCCTTCTAAGTCCAAAAACTATTGTTAAACTGTCCTATTCCAAACTCAAAAGAAAATAATTTTCTGTTTTGTGCATACCCTTGGGAAAACTGGAGGTTCCTGTTGTACATCAAGCTTTGTGGAATATTGACTTCTTATAAAAGCAAATAACACAGGTGTTAATATATATCTGTTAATATAAATTATTCTTACCCTTTGCTATAAGATCTGAATGCCACCAATTGCATAGATTAAATTCCACCAGAAACCTAAGCCACAAAAATATATCATTTGATTACATCTGGCATGTTCATACCATTAACTGTCAGTAATACTTTTTTTTCCAGCATGTTCAAAAACAGACATCAAGCTAAGCTCATGATGAGATATAGTCTGCTGTAGTTGTACATTTTCTCCCAGCTGAATTCATTTTACAATTTCAAATTCTGTTGAAATTGGTATCGCTGCTGGACTGTTCTGTAGCCAAGAATTTTATTTAAAATATACCTTATTGCACTTTCTAGCGAATAACAAGCTGCAGTAGTTATAGCTCCAGTACCGAGAACAATTTACCCATGATACATACATTCAATCTTGGGCTGTCAAAATCTCAAATTCCCTCAATAGGCTCATGAATGGTAAAATATTATTTCCGATTTTATCAGCAAATGATAAAACCTTCTCATACAAAAATACAACTTCCCCGTGAAAATTTGTCAGCTTCAAGTCATTCTTATATAAAAGCTAAAGTCAATGGTAGTAGCTTTTAAATGTTCAGATTGAAAGGAAAAACAGCTATCATAAACAATCAATCGAGAAGCAATAAGTTTTCTAAACTTTACCCTGTAATACCCATAATGTTTTCTACAGTCACCATCAAGGTTCAATTTTATTTTGAATTTTGCAGATTTAGTTTGCAATAAATCATATGCACACATTCCCTTCCACCCACTATGAGAAATCTCATTTAAAACTTCATCCTGAATATCTGTAAAGTAATAAGCCTGGTCCATTACAGATTGTTCAATATCTCCCACCATTTGTGCTCTCCACCAAACAGCTTCCTTGTGCTTTACTAGTGCATTCCAGTTATTCAAAAGAAATTACCACTCAGGTCTGTAATCCATTTTTACTTCAAAACTATTATAAATTGACAGGAGCTCTATATCATGTGGAAAACACCACTAGATCTTGCATGAACTTCAAATATGCCAATCATAGGGCTGCAATCACTTAAGAAATTAGAGAACAACAGAAGATCCTCTGAGAAAATACACACATTAGTAGCCCACCCAAGCAGAACTGGAATCAGCCAAATATTTATATTACATCTAAGTGCAACCACAGTAATAAATTTAGGCTGCAATCCTATATTTGAAATACCCAGGAGTTAGCTCCACTGAAAATAATAGGATTCTACTTTGGAGTAGGCATGTATTGAATTGCATTATTAGTTTATATTTTGGAAATGATTACTGTGAAATCCATAAGGCTTTAAGTACTTTTTAAACTGCTAAAATTATACAGTAAGGATTTGAAAGTGTACATAAATTACTCAACTGGTACAACAAGAAGAATGAAAGAAAGATGGAAAAGTATCATCTTCAAATCAGAACAAGTTTTACTTACAAGACAAGTTCAGTCACAATCCATTTGACTGCAGCAAAGAAAGCTTTGTAAGGCTGAAGACAAACAAATTACTTAATCAAAAAGCCAGGATGTATAATATTTATATATTAAGTGACAGATGTATATCTGTATATCTATAGATGTTTTAAATACATTAACATTTCTACAAATGAATAAAATGTTATGATTTCAGCACAGTTATTATTGTGATGTTTATGTGTGATATAATTATTGGCAAAAATAATAGCATGTTGCTTGAATTTTTATCACTTCTATCACTTCCCAGACTAATTTATTCTATAACTATTGCCCCACCATTCATTTACAGCATTTTCTAGTATCATCCAAAAAATCATAATGCTCAAAAGAACAGTAAATGAGGACAGACATGATATCACCTCAAGAATGGTTAGAAAGTTTCAAAAACTTCTATGAGATATAAATCATATTGATATAACTCATATTATGAATGCACTTGTTCATTATTAGAAAATTTAAGAAGTATTTAGTGATTGCTTGAACAAATTTACTGAATTGCACTAATAGTATATCTAACAGTACCCAATCAAATGTTTCTCAGAAGATTGCAAGAATGACATGAGGCTAAACTTACATAAATACAGTCTTCCTTCCTTCCTCCCTTCTTCCTCCCTCCCTCCCTCGATGAATTTATGTATGTGCATCTTACTATTCATTGTAGTGATTTTTCTTTTTATATCAACCATGTCTCTTATCATAAACTCCTGATTAGAATGCTTGAAAGTTACAGTTAGGCCACTACTTTATTTAATTCATAAGCGTAAAAACCTATAGATCAATAATGTGATATGTGGATTACAACTGGGGAGACACTGGTTCAAGGTCATGAAAGCTCATCATTTCATGCACAACCTCAGCCCAACACAACACTTTTGTGAGGAAATAAAAAAGATAGTGGTACATATGCCTTCTTGGGGTCCTAGAGGAAAAGTGGGATAAAAATCAAATGAATCAGTAGTAATTGTTCCTATTTTATAACACTTTTAAAAAATCACTCTAATTCTGATCCAACAATGATTATACTGATGATTTATTGTTATAATATAAGAAAATATTCATGTTTTATAAGTTGGCTAGAAACAAATATAACATTGTCTTTAAAATTCCCGATTTTCCTGCTAAATGAGGATTATGGTAAAATTTCATGCATCTATTCCATAACACAACCCATTGTGATCAAAGGTATTATTCTAGGAAATGTAATCACATAATATATGAAATGCTTACTATATTTATACAAAGTAATGTATTTACAGATGATTTACAAATCCAGGATGCAAGCATACATTAGGGACAAACATGTTGAAAAGTCTTCAACATTTATATGAGCTAATAGTTTAAAAAATTACCATAATGTTTTGTTGGCCACCACAAACACACCAGGAATAAAGGTTATTGATACCTTGATAAGGATATATAGGATTAGAAATAAATGGCAATCTAATAATAAGCAGTAGAAGAATACTTACATCCAATAAGGTGTGGGCACTATCGCTACTCTCTTTCGTTGTTCTACACATGGCTTGGTAGTCATACAGTGTAATTCTATAGAGAAGAATAGAAAACTGCTTGACTAGAAGGAAAAAAATAAACCAAAAAATAATGTGAAATGCAACAAGACTTGCTCACAAGGCAAAAATAGCATTAGCATTTTTAAAGGACGGGGTTAGATTATAGAATTAATACATACTCAGATTAAATCTAATAAAATGTAAAGAAAAAAACGTGTAAGTCTAAGGATTGAATAAAACTGTCAGGAAATTGTGACTATTAAACTGATTCACAAAATAGAAATATGCATTTAAAAATTAAAGTATTGGCTTCTGCTCCTTTAGCAATTCTAAGAACAGTACTAAAATAGGATTGTACTTTGATTTTTTTTGTGGAGGGGTTTAAAATATTTTGTATTATCTGATGCCTCAAAATAGTCTGTCACTCATCCACATGCAGAGTCTTTCTCTATATTTATGTAAAAGGGAAGAAACAAATGAGATACAGGATAGTAAAAGAAAATGTAATTTAAATGTGAATTTAAAAAATGATTATAAAATTGAACACTTCATTTCAAATAAAGATATGGGAAAAAAAACCAGCTAAAGTTAAGTATGTTTAGATCCATGAATATCCAGGATACTCTTGTAATTATGAAAGACAGTGGGTTTTTTTCAGTGAATTGAATGGATTATATTTAGCAAGTTGCTTGCTGTCAACTATATATATTTATTTATTTTTTTTAGAATTTTATTAGTATTTGTAGGCCGCCCTTTTCCCTGAGGGGACTCAGGGCGGCTCACACAAAACCGGGAAGGGGGAATACAGACATTAAGACAGAAACATATAATAAAATAGTAAGCAACATACATTCATCATTCGGGAGGGGTAACTATCCTTATCCCCAGGCCTGACGGGCGAGCCAGTTCTTCAAGGCTATGCGGAAGGCTTGGACGGTGGAGAGGGTACGAATCTCCATGGGGAGCTCGTTCCAAAGGGTCGGGGCTACTGCTGAGAAGGCCCGCATCATTGTGGTTGCCAGCCGACACTGGCTGGCCGATGGAATACGTGCTTGACATATGACCAGTTGCTTAGCTGCCTCACCCTTGGTCACACATTTACGGATATTTGCCACATTCCACAGTCACCTGACTACATTTTGAAATGGTTTTGCAGAAAACAGACATTTACAACCAGTGTTTGGCATAAATATCCCATGGTGAACAACTGTTGTTGCAGCAGTCACTTAAGGGCTGCCTCAAAAAAAGGTCACAAAATCC